CTCCTCGCTCTTTTTGCTTTTTTTAAGTTTGCAACAGCAATCTCCCATTTTTACTGATATTTTGTAATTGTCGATTGTTAATTATATTTTATCTATTATTTTTATATCAATTTTTGGTTAATTAAACAAAGGTCTTCTGACTTATACATGCTGGCTCTTCCAATGTCCATTCCTTGCTAGAAATAGGAATTCTCCTGAATACAGCTAATATTTTATTTGAAGTTATTGATTCAATATTTGGTTTCTTTCTTTATTTTGTATGATATACTGTCTTGGTGAATTTTAAAATTTTATGTAATCGAAATACGCTAATTTTTCCACCTAAATCAAAATTTTATATAATTTTGAATGATATCAAAAGTTCAATCTAATGACATCATCATATCAGTACAATTCTTGTTAAGTGAAAGTTCGAATACTTTATATTTAGTATGATCAAGTTATTTGAACAGACAAACATTCTATAAACTTGGAATTACAAAAGATATTTATACTAAACTGCTTAAACAGAAGGAAAGGTTTGCCATTGACGAATCAGATTCTTTCATAATTCTTTTCAAAATAGGTCTTTTCAAAATCACTTTATTAGGTACTGTTAGGAATCCAATTCTTTCCCAGTCTACCAATCGAGCAGAGTAAACACCACACTTCTAAGAAAATCAACACTTTTAATTTCCTTTCATAACTAACTAACTTACATCATTAAAAACCAATTTATATACATGTAAAATCGTCCAGTCATCTGGTCAAAATATAAATAAACTAATCTAGGAAAAAACAACTTATAAAATCCTAACAATGCCCCCCATTTTAAAGTTGTTTTCATACCCTCATCGGAGGCCTAGAGTGGTCAAGATCCTGGTTAGGTCTTCGTTTAACACCACCCGGCAAGTCAACATCCCATACTCTGTGTTCCCGAAGTGATGCCATTTCACATTCTATAGACCTCAGCCGATTTTGTGCTTTGGGCATATTAAGCGCCTCCTCGTATGATGACGGCATTTCATCTTGATGGCTCTTATGTTCAACTATCCCACGGTGGAAGGCTGATCTACAATACTCCTTCTGCCTAGCCGCAATTCTTGAAGAACTTCTTGGGATTATAGTTTCATTCTGGCCTTCGTCTTCTCTCCTCAGTGCTTCGTCTTCATAGGCCTGCTCTCCATCCTCTCTTCGTTCTAAGTTATTCAGATCTTTCTCTACCGATATTGTTTCCCCATCAGTCCTTGAATATCCTCTTGGGATCGCAGCTTCATTTTGGTATTCCCCTTCATCTTCCTTCTTTAGTTCTTCCGCTGTATAGATTCTTCCTCTTCTATTAGATTTCAAAATTAACCCGCCATCACTTCCAAAAACAGAGGCCTTGCCATTCTGGAATAATACTTTGTTTCCTCTTTCTTCAATCCTTCCAACAGACAAAATATTTCCGTCCAACTCAGGAACGTATAAAACGTTTTCCAAGAACAAGGTTTCACCTCCATATTCGTGACCGAGTTTGATTGCTACATCACCCATCTCTGATACTTTTATTTTCTCATTGTTAGCCATTTCTACTGAAGTTGAAATACTTTTTGTGTTCGTCAATTTCAGTCTGTTCGACGTCACATGTTCAGTAGCTCCACTGTCCAGAAACCAGATATTCTGCGAATTATTGTCTTCAAAGCCGTTCGCAAATAGGACCTTATGAGTCAGGTCTAGCGTACCTTGTTTCAGCATACCTTCGTTAATTCTCCTTGAGGAGTTGGCAAATCTGCAATTCCTAGCTATGTGCCCTAATCTGCCACAACTGAAACACCTTATCTGCCTGGAGATACCTTCGCTAATTCTCCTTGAGGAGTTGGCAAATCTGCAATTCCTAGCTATGTGCCCTAATCTGCCACAACTGAAACACCTTATCTGCCTGGAGATACCTTCGCTAATTCTCCTTGAGGAGTTGGCAAATCTGCAATTCCTTGCTATGTGTCCTAACCTGCCACAACTGAAACACCTTATCTGCCTCGGGTAGTTATAATTTTCCCTTTTCCCTTCCGTCCACGTATTATGATAATTCCTTGGTTGATCATATTCAAATATTTTTCGCTCTTGACATGGTGATTTGCATGTATCCTCTTTTCTTCTTACCGCAAAAGCGCAATTAGGATCTTCTTGAGGAATTTGACGCTGTTTCTGTCTTTTTTCTTCTAAAAGTAACTTGGATTTTACCACACTAGTAGATAGCTTCTCTTCTTGCTGTTCTAAACTGAGAATCAGCGGCTCGTAACTCTTTGGTAATCCCAATAGCATAATCAAAGCTAATTCGCCATCCCCAAATCCATGGTGGCACTTTGCTAATTTTCTATGACATTCCATTATTCTCGCGAAATATTCCTTCATGTCTTCGTCATTTCTTTTGACAATATTGAAAAATTCTCTCAGTAACTGTAATATGTGCAGCAAGCCATATTTTGTGTGGATATCCTCCAGCATCTGCCATGCATCGATCGCTCGCTTACAATCACCGATATCATCTAGGAATGAATCCTCAACTGCTAGTAATATGACAGATAATGCCAAGCTATCTTTCCGCTTCTGTTTTTCTGAAGTTTCCCTAGGAAAGCCAGGCTCAATCGCATCCCATATATCCTTCTGGATCAAAATAGATTTAGTTCTTATGGCCCAGGTATAATAATTATTACCATCAAGTTTAGGTATTCTGAACTCGTCAGCCATTGATATTTCCAGTTATGCAAATCTGACAAAAAAAATTATAACTCAAATATTTTCTCTCTCTACTTCTTCTTCTTTAAACTTTCTACTTATTCTTATTCAAACTTCACCTTCACTTCTTCAAACACTACTTCTTCAAACCTTATCTTCACTTCCTCAAACACTACTTCTTCAAACCTTATCTTCGGCTTTAACTTTTAGCTTTTTCTTCTTTACTTTCTTCAGCTCTATCTTCTTTAGCTTAAACTTCTAATTTCTTTCTACGGCGCAGTGGAAGCGTGCTGCTGGGCCCATAACCTGTTAGGAATCCAATTCTTTCCCAGTCTACCAATCGAGCAGAGTAAACACCACACTTCTAAGAAAATCAACACTTTTAATTTCCTTTCATAACTAACTAACTTACATCATTAAAAACCAATTTATATACATGTAAAATCGTCCAGTCATCTGGTCAAAATATAAATAAACTAATCTAGGAAAAAACAACTTATAAAATCCTAACAGATACCGCTCAACAAGAGCAACCTAGTTTATGATAATTGAAACAGTGAATAATATATGAAGGTTATTCACATATTAAACAAAATGTTAACGCGGGATTCAATCCCGGTTCATGACTGTCGGGAATCGAGGGTGTTACCCGCTCGTCCACCGACTTGTGGGTCTTGAATCGAATTTCTTGCAAAATTTTGTCCAATAAAATTTTGAAGATTTGAGTCACTGGAAAGTTGTTAGAGCAACAATATCATTAGATGCGATTCAATCGGCGACTCATAATATGATAAAACAGCTCCAAATCTAAAAAGCGAGGATATTTCTTTTATGTATTGACAACAGATTATTGTTGTCATTGACTTATTGTGTATTTATTTATCATCACCATACATGTGTTTATAAGTCAGACTAAATAAAGAACTATCATCTTGTGTCACCTGCTTGTCTCTCCTAGATTCTACATGTCATCGGGGATATAACAATTTCTTTATTGGATGCCTTTGCGCCGCAAATTCAAAGATAGATCTTTAAATATTTATCAACTTGGTAAAAATATTTTTTAACATAGGTAATACAGAAAAAGAATAAATTTTTCATGTAGAAGAAGGGTTTGTGATACCCGAAGCTTGAGAAGACTATAAAAAAAAAACAAGAAACCTATCCTTGGAAGATATTTTGTTTATTATTGTACAAATTTTACAAATTCAACAAGCAATCCAGGACTAAGTTTCTAGCAACATCTTTATTTTCTCTAGATTTCTGGCTGACATGTTCTCCTATTGAAGCTCGAAATCTTGAGATATAAAAAAAAAATACTTTTAAAAAACCTGGCCCTTGATTGCTTTTTGATTTTGTAAAATTTCTCTTCTATTAAAAAAATATGAATTATTTGTGCCTTTTTTTTATTCTTACAATATAATGTCTACAGCTCCAAAAGAAAATTATCTTTTAGATATATACGAGATATATTATATTGGTATATATATTATATTTAATAAAGATTTTTTGCTGTTTTGAGATTAATTACTTGTAGAGGAATTATTGGTCATTTGCTTGCTTTTGGTGTGCAGTCGTGGAAGAGATTATAATAAAATTAGTTATCAAAAATAGCATTATTTGCGCTAAAGGAATATATGAAAACATGGTTTGATAAAAGTACTGCCTGGCTTAAGGCGTAAGAATAAAAAAGAAACGCTTATTTACATAATGTACAAAGGTAGCCGGCCAACGAGGAACAACAACAATGAGTATTTGTAGGGAAAGCGTGACCCCTGGCGGTCGATTTAACAGAGTATTTAAATCGATGAAATATAATTTTAAATAAAATAATACTTTAATATAACATAATTTTGAATAAAACATTTTAATATAACATATATATACATTTAAATAAAATAAACAAGTAATTCACAGGGCTAAGTATCTTTAATTATTTTTTTTTCTCTAGCTCTTGGGCCAACATGAGAGCTAGAAGTATGACTTTCAGCTAACAATACTTCTTACTATGCATTCTACTACTGGTTGCGACTGTTAAAGGACATGTTAGTCCAAAATCTAGAGAAATTATACAAGAAACTTAGCCCTGGATACTTTATTGATTTTACTGGCGTATATAGTTAGCTAGAAGTTATACTCCTAGTTACTCCTTTTGAGGAAGACTTGTTAGCCGAAAATCTATAGAAATAAAATTGTACAAAAAACTTATAGTCACTTCAAGTGTCGTTTTACAATCACAAGCTGCAGTGTATTATATTGTATTATAAGTTACTTTATGTATCATTTACGAACGGAAAAATACGTCCAGGGTAGCCTAGTGGACATGGCATCTGCCCGGTAAGCGGAACATTGTGGGTTCGATTCCCATCCTTGGACACTTTTATTTTTCGTTCATCATTATTTTTCATAATTCATCCTTTCATACCTCATCCAAAAAGGTTAGAAATAGTCGATATTTCACCTTGAAATAAAATTTAAAAAAAAAATTGATTTTTCGTCGAAAAGAAACTCATGCGGTGTAACTTCAAGTGTCGTTTTACAATAAGTCTTCTTCTTCTCTATTAAGAGCCCTCGATAGAGCTGACTACTACAGAGAGCGTCTCCAGATGGCGGATAGAGGAACAACCATCAGATATCTTCTTCTTCTTTCTTCTGGGTGAAGTAGAATGTGTCTACCTTTGTGATCAAAACTGGGAGCACTACTCAGTGGCAGGCCGACTTAGCTCCAAAAAAATGGACACCTCTGACATGAGGAACAGACGCCATGTGCAGCCGATCCTAACATGGAGTACAAACGCTGTTCATCCTGTATCCCTGGATTAGAAGCCCTTACAGGGTACTATCAGCCGGTCCAGCTGAGCCCAGTTTTTTACCGAGCTTGTTACTACTCCCCCTCCTCCTTTTTCATCCAGGCTTGGAACCAGCAAAGGCGGAGTTTATATTATATAACTTATATATTATAAGTTGGGGGGATGAACGTGTATTATTAATATGTATGTGTGAATTTTTAAATGTTTTTGGCAATGTGTTTCTTTTCACATCTATCATCGAATATTATCTCTACAGACCTTACTACAAGGATAAAAGTTATTAAATGAGAGGGCTTGGCTCATCAGTTGTGAATCCTCTCTGCGATTCCGCCAAATTACTCTCCAGACATGTAGAGATAATATTTGATCATATATGAGAAAATAAACACATTGCCAAAAAAATATATTATTAAAATTTTAATGATAGATGGCAAATAAATTTATAAATGTAATATGTATATGTGTGTGTATATTTAGGATCAATATAAAAATTAAAAAGAATTTGGAAAAGTTTATAATTTATATTTATTTACATATAATCAATTCTACATACAGGATTATATAAAATTAGATAACTTTTCTAACTAAAAAGAAGGCATTTTCTAGATAAGTTATAAGAGAACAAAACTATTTCTATCACACATATTTAAAAATACACAAAAATATAAAAATTATATACTTATACAGGCATCTATTTTTATAAACAAAAATAAAGAATAGTTTTAACAATTTAAGTATAAAAAGTTCTCAAAATTGATCTCTATATATATATAATAGATATTAATACAAATAAAAATGAAAAAAATTACAAATTTATAGAATTCTCAAATGAAAATTAAAACTAATATCTTATATAATGCTAAAGAATATAAAATATTTGGTTATATGGACTGTACAGCGAAGTTTTATTGATTTTTCTTGAAGACTTTGTACCATTTTTTGCCTTTTTGGTTTTGCTCAGTTGCTTGTTGTTGGGTATCTTCATCTTTATTTGGTTCTAAGATGGCGGCTGGGGCAATATCGGGTTCATCGTCAATGCTTGAAAGATGGCTACGGAATGGAGGTTGTGGTTCATCTTCTGCTTCTTCTTTAGTTTCGTCTGGCTCTGTTACGACAATCTGAGGAACTTCTTGTTGATCTTGTTCTTCTTTTGTTGCTGTAAGTTCATACGCTTTCAAATCAATAGAGCTTAGTTCTGAGTCTTTTAAACTGCGAATGTTTTCCATAATCTCGTTTAGAAGTGAAGGTTCTGTGTGGATCTTGAATTTGTCTATAAAATCATCTTCAATTTCTGATATGTTTTCTAATGCTGAATCTGGTTGGTCAGTTGATTCAATAGGGATTTCTTCGCTTTTTTCTTCTTCTTTGATTTCCTTTTCATCTTTGATTATCTTATCATCTATGATTTCTTTTGAATCTTCTTCAGGTATTTTAAAGGGATTTTCTTCTTTTTTATCGATTATTTCCTTTTCTGGTTTAGTTTCTTTGATAATCTCATTTGGAGTTTCATCTTGATTATTTTCTTCCTCTTTGTTTGTTGGCATTGAATCTGATTTTTCAAGGTCGGTCGATTCATCTACATTTACAATTGCTTCTTCAATTTGTTCTTCAGTGATCTTATTTTTATCTTGTTCTGAGGTCGAAGTAATCACTTTAGCTACTTCTTCTATCATTATATCTTTTTTACATTCTTTTTCCACTTCTACCTTTTCAAATTCGAGAGATTCCTTCATGTCTGTCTTCTTATCAATGGATTCAACCTCATCAGCTAGGATCACAGAGGTATCTGTACTTTGAAGATCAACAATGCTGTCATCATCCGAAATCCTTTCTTCATCTTCACCAGTTTTCTCAATTTCTGTATCCTTCATGCTCCAACTTGAATCAGAAAGTTCGCCATTACTTGTTATATTGCTGCTTGATCCTTTCACTTTACATTCTCCATCACTGATAATGTCAAAACTGGCGTCATCACCTGTACTCTTTGATTCTTCCGTTCGTTCATAGCTTTCCGAGATGGATATGTATTTAAGGGATTCTGATTCTTCGGATTTGCCAGAATTGAGGTCGGAATCGACGGATTCTTTCTCTAGAAGAACAACGGAAGAGGATTCTGAGCATTCTTCATCTTGTGGACAGGATTCCTTGGATTGAAGAGAGTCACGTTTTCCTACTGACACTTTATCACAAGTACCATCGTTCTCTTCAAATGAAGCTTTCAGCAAATTGGACATCTCTCGAAGATCCGATTCAATCTCACTCTTGGATGAATCTCGACGTTCTTGAGCTTTGATTCCAAGAATTAGCTGCTTGATGGTGGACTCAAACTTCTTCAGGATGCTAACGCTGTCAATACTGTACAGAACTAACTCCCCTTCTCCCGTTGAACTGGATCTGCACAACCAAACATAGTGTTAAGAGCAATTGAATATTTATTTTTCAAAATGTCAAAATCTTATAGATAGAAAAATAAACTGGGTTTATTGCTTGATATGCACTCATTGACAAAAATTAAATAAGTTTTACCTCTTATCATGTATATCAGGATTCAGACAATAACTCTGAAATATATTACAGTGACTTTTATTGAAGACATTGGAGAGAAACAATTGTGAACAACCTGTTTCCTTAAATAAAATAATAATAATAATAATATTTAACAAAAAAATAGATGGCAGGCAATATTAAAGACTATCCACTTTCTTAAGTTTGTCTATAAGTGTATATTTACTAATTTCTACAGGTAAACTCCTTATAATTGGTATAATTGTATATCGAATCAAAAGTTTTACGAAGGAGCATCTTTTATTATACTTGTGCTAGCTTTCGAACCTTTCGGTTCTTCAACAGGCGTGGCTAGATGAGGTTAGTATAGTCATACTAGCCACGCCTGTTGAAGAACCGAAAGGTTCGAAAGCTAGCACAAGTATAATAAAAGATGCTCCTTCGTAAAACTTTTGATTCGATATACAATATTTACTAATATAAATCAATCTGTCTATAACGGAATTAGATTGTAATAGATACTGACCCTCCAGCGTAGATGGCAAAAACTTTCTCTTTATCCTCCGGAGATACTTGAGGTACAAGTGCAAGCCGTTTGAGAGTCCGTAGATACCATTCCTGGACCACATGTCCAGTTTGGGGATGGCACAATGTTAGCTTGCGGTCGGTGAGGGACAAATGGCCGTATGTCCCCAGTAGTCCAGCTCTGATGCTGTAACTGTTGTCGATAACGGAGACCAGGTAGCTTCCAGCGAGCGCTACACAAACATCTTTGTTAAATTTCTAACAAACTCGAAACTTAAAATTTGTAATAACTGTAACGTCCTCGTGTTTGTTAGTTGACGTTAATCAGCAAGAAGTATCTGGAAGTTTAAAAGAGAAGTCTTTATTTCTTTTAGGCTAACCTCCGACATTTATTTATTTCGTCTCAATTTACAGGTGTTACATTCGAGTCACCTTGTCCTGGCTATTTACACATGGCGTGGAGTAGAGGTGGTCCCCACAGACTTTGCAGGAGGGCAGCTGTTGGGCGATGAGCTCTTAATTAAGTGTCAAGGCCGGGTCGTCGGAATCGGGTATTGATATCTCCTTTATTTTGTAGAATATCTTGTATTATTGGATTATTAACTCCGACATAAGTTTACATATGGAAATATATTACAATCAGTCAACTCCACAGAGTACCATCAGTGATGTGTTCCCTGATAATTAACTATACATCCTGTAATAATGTCAGCTGCCGTTACAATAACTATTATGGAAATATGTTGCTTTATGAAAACACTCATAGGTTCTAATAGCAAAAGTATTAAAAAGAAAACCCAATGCATTAGCTTTTCATAAATTCTGGAAAACAGACAGACAATAGGCGCAATACAGATGATAAGTCTAATTTGAAGAAAGGTCTGGCTTAATCTCAACTTTATGTAGATATCTGTTATGTTTACTTCTGTTTACCTATTTGGAAGAATCTTGTATGAGAAGAGTATCTTTAATAGAGGCTTTGTTGTTGTGATATACACTCATAGACAGAACTTAAGGAAGTTGTACCTTTTAGCATGTATATCGGGATTCAGACAATAACTCTGAAAGATATTACAGTGACCTTTATTGAAGACACACATGTATACACTCATGGACAAAACTTAAGAAAGTTGTACCTTTTACCGTGTATATCGGGATTCAGACAATAACTCTGAAAGATATTACAGTAACCTTTATTGAAGACACACATATATACACTCATGGACAAAACTTAATAAAGTTGTATCTTTTAGCATGTATATCTGGATTCAGATAATAATTCTGAAAGATATTACAGTGACCTTTATTGAAGACACACATGTATACACTCATGGACAAAACTTTAAAAAGTTGTACCTTTTAGCATGTATATCGGGATTCAGACAATAATTCTTAAAGATATTTCAATGACCTTTATTGAAGACACACAAGATAACTAAGTGTGAATAATATTTCCTATGCCTTTTTCGAAAAAAAAAAACAGATTACAGGCTAAAACAAAGACATTCCACTTTCTTAAGTTTTGTCCATGAGAGA